TCATAATGTACAAGTAGAATTATCTCATTTTTAATAGGACTTTGCTATATGTACACTTTGATGTACATAATATTTGACATATAACCAAAAAAAAATTGAAAAAATCTGTCAAGCTTTCCGAACGCCAAGGCGTACAAGTTTAATTCTTTTTAATATATGAAAATTGAATACAATTGAATAATTAGTGTTTTTTTGGGATAATTTATGAAGTTGAGTTCAATATCATTAATTAATTTTATCTACGAATTTTATGAAATTCATAAATTTAATTAACTTTTCGACAGTTCATCTCCTCAATTTTAAACAAACAAAACCTTAATCTATTCGATTATGTTATTTTGACGAACGTGGTTGTTAACGTTTTTCTTCCTTATTTATTAGTCTTGTTGAGGTCAAATGTAAATATTAAAGTAAGAAGGGTTGTAAGATTTTTAATCAAATTTTGTATTTTAAAAATGTGGATATTATATATAAAATAATAATTTGTCAATATTTCAGACTGTTGAATACACCCGTCCCTTCACTTTTTATTGGACTTCCATTTTAGCCCTTTCCTTTATGGGCATAATGACCATTTTACCACTGATTGGATTTTTAGTAATTGATTTAAAAATGTTACCTAATTGGCTAATTTAGTCCAATAATAATACTTTTGGGACTGTAATGTTGGTACACAGATAAACCAAAGAAAAAGGGGAGAAATTTTTACATTAGGAATTCGGAATCATCCCATTGGAGAACGGCAGAGTCCAAATTCTGTTCTCTCTTCAGCTTATCCTTGACAAACCAATCACAAATCTTCCCCGCATTCAGCTCCTCAATTGAACATCCTTCCTGCTCCGAAATCACTCTCAATAGATTCAGCGACGATATCTGCAAAAGTTGTACAATATTAGACCTGATCTAATACCTCCTGAATCTGTTTACGAACACAAAAAACTTGCGCTAAATTCACCGTTAATCGACATAAAAACCGCTCATGGCTGCTGAGGCCGGAAATTTCAACCAAACCAGCCTCTTCTAGACTCAAAAAACTACGCGGTCCGCTCTTCTTCTCTCCACAAGCTCTCAAGGAAAGCGCTCTTCTTCTGCGAGAAACATTNGCGGTCCGCTCTTCTTCTCTCCACAGGCTCTCAAGGAAAGCGCTCTTCTTCTGCGAGAAACATTGAATGGTACAGTAATGTCGGACTGTATTTTTATAGTTCTGGAGAAATTGGAGAGAGATGATAATTGATATTTCCCCGCGCAAGGATTGGTTGTGCTCATAGCTTCGTAATTTGGACTACAATGTTGTGTGCTCGGAGGAAGAGTCAGAGAGAAGCTCAGAAGCCTATCTAGTGGATTGTGTTGCTTTTGTGTGTGGCCGAAAATTGAAATCTAGGTAGCTGAGAGTTGATGGATTCAGTAAAGCCCATTGATCTGCCTACAGCCCACGATGGGTTGGGCAGGCCCATTACGGTCAGTGAGTGAAAATGGAACATTTGACTGATGGACAACTTACAAAAATACCCTTAAAATTAGGGATCTTTTAGAAAATCATATAAATCATAATTGAGAAGTAAAAAATAATGTGTAAAATTAATTGTCATTTTTTTTAATAGAAAAAGTGATAATCAATAAAAAGTGGCACTGAAAAAGTGACCAACTGTCACTTTTTAAAGTTAAGTCACTTTTTTTATTAAAAAATGACATACAATGTTACCTTAATTAAAAAATGATATTTGTCACTCGAAAAAGTGATAGAAATTTCAAAGAATTGAAAAAAAAAATAACAAACATTAAAAAAGTGATAAAAA